TTATCATTTGGCTTTGAAAGAAACTTTTAATCATACAATAGCTATGTAAAGCAAATATTGAAGAAATTTCTATTACAAGAGAAGATAAGAAGATGAAATGTTTTTGTAAAATTTTTTCATAGAATTTCATAAATATAACAACTTGAACAAATTTTCAGTTGCATTTCTTTTCTTAGCTATTGATATGAAGATAAACTTTAATACCAATCGTTTGGAATTCTTCTTTCGAATATACACACACAGACTGAAATACCAACAAATGAGAAGGATGAGTGTATTCTGAAGAAGTACTATGTTTCACTATAAGGATGGACGATTGTTATACAGTCGTAAAAATAAGACAGTCGACTCGAATTCCAAGTTAGAAAAGATTTGGAATTGTCACTTGTTTTTGATTGAAAAATTCTTTTTAAATAGAACTTAAATTAATTGTTCAAACATCTACTTAAGAGTCATCGCACGAGAGACACACCTACCATTGCTCAATCGATCTCTCTCATTCGACTGATATTTTTACAGTAAATAGCCCTAATAAAGTTAGGAAGAAACCCAAAATTTTAGCTCAAACGGATAAGCCGTTCTGGAGATACAGACGTTACAAGTATGAGGGAATCGGGTATATTTGGTGTATTCTCTAGAGCAACACTTTACAGTAAAGTTTCATTTTCTTAACAACGACAAGAGCTAGGAAAGTGATTTTTTTTTATGGGAGATACTATCGATGATGGACTATCTTTTTATGGTATTAAAAGTTCCTTTCTATTGAATATTTACTTGTCGGTACTACATACTATTATCAGAAGGCATGTCCCTACATATAGGGCATGTTTTCCAGATCAGCCCAATAGATTTGGCTGAAACTAGCCTCATTTGAAAGAGCACATCGAACTGCATCGACTGATGTCCTCAGAAGTTTGGGATCTTGAATTTCGATATAGAACATTTTTTGAACATGGATGTTTATCTGTACATTGAATATTTTTCTTAAAATTGGCTACAATATTTTTTGTAGTTAAAAATCTAACTTTTTCATCTCTTTTTTTTGTTCCTGCGAACTTTCTAAGTTCTAATAAACAAAGAAAAGGATCATTGTCATTACTAAATATTGTTTTATTATATTCATATAAACTATTATTAGTAACAATCGATACCTGCTGAGGAAGGGTGTGGGTGTGCGTGTGGGTGTGGGTGTGAGTGGGTGTATGTGGGCGTGTGGGTGTGGATATAGTTAGAGACACACCCACACCCACCACCTACCTCAGTATAATTACTGAAAAGTTTTGAAATATCAATATTGGATACCCTGCTTAGGATTTCTCAGTACATGAGTACCTTGAACTCAGTACTTTATCTAGAGTATCCTACTACTTAAATAATATGTTATTAATGATAATGTGAAATATAATCCCATTCTGTATGATATTTGAGTTCAAAACATTAAAAAAAAGATAATTTTGTAAAACTATAGTACGAATTTCATATCACTTAATTAGATTCTTTTTAAATTAAAAAACTGCATAATCTATTGCATTCGTCGATTAACAATTCTTATAAAACTATGAAAGAAATAAAAACTGTCAATTAATTTCTTTCTATAAATTGTAGTCATCAGCGGTTCCTTGTTCCATATTGGAAAATCGCAAAACAACTGACACAAAAAAGTCTGATAGTAACTAATGGTCGTGACTTAAAGTAATAAAATTGTTCGTTTGTTTTTTAATTTTTTAATAATTCATTAAAAAAAATCTATACAGTTCAACAAAATTTAGTATTATAAAAATTGGTATTCGTTATTCTACTCATCGTTTAACTTTATCTGTAACTGTCTATGCATGCAAGTAAATATTGTTTAGAGAATTAATTTGATACAAAAACAATCAAATTCTTTTTCTAGAGGACTTATACATGTTCATCAACAAAATTTACCGGATCCATAAATACGTCTTTATTTAGTACCAGATTTCAAAAAAGATAAAAAGAAAACAAAATCTATACATATGATACATTTAATCCAATCTATGGTGTTTTGTAAGAGATATAATAAAGGAAAATTATTAAATATTTATTTTATATATTTTTACTAATTATTTAGATTTGAATGGCAAATGTCATTAGTTGATGTATGCCGACAACGTCTTATGTTTATTGTTAAAAATAGTTCACCTTTATTTGCAAAAGAGCAAAAAGATATGGGTGATGTAAATAAAAAAGAAAGACAATAACAAGGATTTTGTTCTTTTTTTCAAGCTTCAAATTGATTTATTAAATCTGGATGCAGAAAAACAAAGTATTGCTTGGTATGCATTACAAGAACCGAATACAAGTGGTGGGGGTATTATAAAAATTAAATATGATACATTAGAATCAAATGAATAAAGATAGAAATTGAAATGAAAATATATAATATGTATATATATATTCAGTTCTTTATCAATTTTTGTAAAAATTCTCTTTGTAGTTTCACATTTTTTTATTATTAATTTAATCTGTATACGTTAAAGGTTTTATGATATCAATTAGTAAGAAAAATAATATTATTAATCATATATATATATATATATATATATATATATATATACTGTGATTCTATTTCAATGATATTTATAGCTACGATTTCATAGATGAAGAAGTATCTATCGAGTTCTAGAATTCTAAAATAATTTTTCTAATTCATGATAGCCAGAGGTATTTAAACTTGGGTAGGAGAAATGTGGCGTTCTATCATTAGTTCTATGCAAAAATCAATTATTCAGAATGTGAAAGGAAGTGTTCTGATTGATTATCATAATCAATATTAGATAATGATTTCAATGATGCTTTGAATATGGATTAGTATAATTAAAAAGAAACAGTTCACCATATGTGAAACATCGATCTTGTTCTTGATAATTTGAATTAAGACTGAAGCTGATT